CCCTCTAAAATGTCACATTTTCACCTTCTTACAAACTCGCAGTTTCCTGCAGTGTTTCCTGTCTGCTCGGTCCACCAGCTCATCTCTGCTCCGAGCAGCAAGTGGGAGAAATCATCCAAAAGAATGCGGGGAGGGGGGGGTCTGTCAACGTTAACCTGCTTCCTATCAACCATCCTCAGCTCCTACACGCACAGCAGAGGCCGAGTCAATGAACTCTTTCTCCTATTGACAAAACGAAGCCATGTGCAGTTTCACTGGGACTCGGACTCCAGTGATTTATTGTGCATCAGTCTTGGTGGATAAGAACAAGATTGTCGAGGAATGGTGTGTAATAAATTAATCCGTTGTGTGCGGTCGCAGCCTCGCAGTGCAGAAAGCACACTTTATTGTGTATCACAGCTGCTGCAGGAAACTGGACAGTAAATATTATTTTAATGGCAACAGGAAAAAATGCAAAATGCAGCTTTTTCATATTTCTAATATTTGCATGCGTCCTTTTTTTATATCTATAAGCAGGCTTGATATGTACTCCGAGAGAGCACGAGGGAAGAGACATTTAGAGTCGCTGCAGCAGCACTATCATCTCTTCATACTTTCACTCGTCTGTCTTCACATATTTAGTTTGGCTTGGATTTGGTTTTAAATCAGCAGCAACGTTTATTTGAGTCTTGAACAAGTAAACGACTCGATTTCAAAATGTTGGCGAAATCAGAATTCTGAGTAACTGAAAGCTTCATTAAAGCTGGCCCTCGTTCGGGCCCGTCGGGGTTTTCTCTTTTGAAGAATCCATTACTGTCTCGCTATTTAAAAATATCCACGTGACCTCGCCATGAGGCCAACGACGGTGCTCATGTGAGCAGGGACTTGACTTCTTTTGTCCTAAAGCAGCAAAGCTGTTGCTTACAAAGGTTAGCTTTAGCTTTAGCTTTACCAACAAAAATAAAAATAAAAACTACCAACAGGCCAAGAGGTACTTTAGCACAGCGGTCCCCAACCTTTTTTGTGCCGTGGACCGACCTGTAAGGTGTCGTGGATGAATACAACAAAATAAAACCAGTAGTGGTACCAAAGAAAAGATTTATTCATAGCAAACGGGAAAAGGCCCAGGACAACTGAGTTAACGATAAAAACAATTTAAAAAA